CCAACATGACAAAATACTTTTCAGGGAAATAGTTTCAAATTAAAATATCAGAGTTTGGGTTCTTTATATTGGTATATTTACTAAAATAACTTAATTGACAGCCACCATAGTTTAATTAATCCTGAAAAAGTTTGGCAGCAAGTTGTTTCATATCTGAAATTATTTTCTGATTGGTAAAGAAGACCAACGCTGATGTTTACAGACACCAAACAGAAGTGAGGAAATGTCCTGAACAGAACCACAGCACAGTTTTGTTTTCCACATGATGGTGACATGTATATTTATTGATTAAAATGTTTCCAGAAGACCCAAAAAATCAGCTATCTCCACTCCTTGACGACGACTGGAGGAAATTTTCATGGGAGTGAGTATGAATTTATCATGTGTCTATAATATGTTATTGATGTTCTGTGTTAGTGGAAAAAGGTAATTTTATAAACAAATCTTCTATTTACAGCGACACAGAAGAAAATCAAAACTATGTCGAAAATTTCCAACCTAAGAACAACGAGCAGCTCAGAGTGATGTTTTGTGGACCAGTCGGTGCCGGGAAGTCCAGCTTCATCACCTCTGTCATGAGTGTCATTGAAGGCCGTTTGGTATCTGGTGCTTTTGCCAATTCAAAAACCAATGATGGAAGCTTCACCAAAATGGTAAGAAGACATTTAACTGAGTGAATTAACTGAGAAAAACTGCTTTCTGACTCCATCAACCACTCCACTCAAACCCCTTCACCACAGTAAGGTAGCAGCCCAGGGAGGGGAGACTTACCCCAACAGTGTTTTTGTATTGATTTAAATTCATCTGACATTCATGGAGATCTTCTTTTTATATTAAGAGCTACAGGGGTTGGAAAATGAAACTGAAACACCTGGTTTTAGACTACAATAATTTATTAGTATGGTGTAGGGCTTCCTTTTGCGGCCAATACAGCGTCAATTCGTCTTGGGAATGACTCGCTCCTCCAAAACACCCCAAAGTGGCTCAATAATATTGAGATCTGGTGACTGTGCAGGCCATGGGAGATGTTCAACTTCACTTTCATGTTCATCAAACCAATCTTTCACCAGTTTTGCTGTGTGTATTGGTGCATTGTCATCCTGATACACGGCACCTCGTTCAGGATACAGTGTTTGAACCATTGGATGCACATGGTCCTCCAGAATGGTTCGGTAGTCCTTGGCAGTGACGCGCCCATCTAGCACAAGTATGGGGCCAAGGGAATGCCATGATATGGCAGCCCAAACCATCACTGATCCACCCCCATGCTTCACTCTGGGCATGCAACAGTCTGGGTGGTACACTTCTTTGTGTCAGGGTGGTGGGTTTTGAGGGAGGACTCAGGCGCGGAGATGACGGAAAAACAGGGTTTATTGTAACTAAATACTCAAAAGGGTGGAAGTCCAGACAAGGGTCAAAAACAAGGCTGTGTACACAACAGGTAATCAAGACATTTCGAGACACCAGACATTCCCCCAGACGTGACACTTTGGGGCTTCTCCACACCGTAACTCTCCCGGATGTGGGGAAAAAAGTAAAGGCGGACTCATCAGAGAACAATACATGTTTCACATTGTCCACATCCCAAGATTTGTGCTCCTTGCACCATTGAAACCGACGTTTGGCATTGGTAGAGTGACCAAAGGTTTGGTTATAGCAGCCCGGTCGTGTATATTGACCCTGTGGAGCTCCCGATGGACAGTTTTGGTGGAAACAGGAGAGTTGAGGTGCACATTTAATTCTGCTGTGATTTGGCAGCCGTGGTTTTATGTTTTTTGGATACAATCCGGGTTAGCACCCGAACATCCCTTTCAGACAGCTTCCTCTTGCGTCCACCGTTAATCCTGTTGGATGTGGTTCGTCCTTCTTGGTGGTATGCTGACATTACCCTGGATACCGTGGCTCTTGACACATCACAAAGACTTGCTGTCTTGGTCACAGATGCGCCAGCAAGACGTGCACCAACAATTAGTCCTCTTTTGAACTCTGCTATGTCACCCATAATGTTGTGTGCATTGCAATATTTTGAGCAAAACTGTTCTATTACCCTGCTAATTGGACCTTCACAGTCTGCTCTTATTGGTTCAATGTGAAATTAATGAAGATTGGCCACCAGGCTGGTCAAATTTAGCCATGAATCCTCCCACACTAAAATGAGAGGTGTTTCGGTTTCATTGTGCAACCCCTGTAGTTTGTCTGCACACAAATCACCCACTTCTATAAACTGTATTATAGTTCCTCTTAATCTGACCTCATATATATATCTAAGCTTTGTTCAGTCAGCTATAATCATGTACAATGTACATGTCTGATTTTTGTGTGTCCGTGGTATAATGGATGTGCAATGTTCCACAGCATGATGCAGGTCACTCCTCCAACTAAGGAGAATGTCATCTGTTAGCTTTTCCTTCCAAACACACACAGATATGATGCAGTAACAGAAGGGAAAAGCAGTATCTGTTTCTCCTGTTTGGGTTAAACATGAGGTGACCACTGTATGAGAAGGATTAAAGAGGGGAGGACTGACCCATCTGTGGGTGGGTGTGGAGCAGATCTGTGTTCTGACCCCAGAGTTCAGAGACAAAAGGGACTAACATTATTAAAGCTTCAGACACTGATACTATAAAACTCTGTGTCGTCTGAGTAACTAACAATGACACATAAGTCTGTTTTTTCTTCATATGCTTCAGTATAGGGCTCATGAGATAAGAAAAGAGAATGGAGACGTCTTACCCTTTGTCGTCTGTGACACCATGGGTTTGGAGTCTATAAACAAAAAAGATCCACTTGTGGAGGACATCCAGCTGGCCCTCAAAGGGCGCATGAAGGAAAATTACGAGGTAACAATCGATCTCTAAATAAATCACTTAACATAGACATGTTAAAACATATCTAATGCAGAAAAAACTTCTACTTTTGTTAAATTGATCTCTTTGGTTTTCAGTTTAATCCGTCATCACCGCTGTCAGAAGATAGTCCATTCTACAACCCTAACCCAGGTCCAGAGGATAAAGTTCATGTCCTGGTTTTTGTTGTTAATGGAAATTCTTCAGAAATTCCAGAAACCATTTTGGAAAACATGACGGAGATCAGAAAGGCAGCCAGTAGGCTGGGTAAGAGCTCACAGTGAGCAGCCTGTTATTCACACAGTGACTTCAGCTCAGGGGAAGTCATGGGTGATCCAGTAAAACAGCTGTTTCAGCCTGTTTGAGAGAACAGACACTGAAACTTTAAAACATTAAGTGAAGTGAAATTAGCAATCCTGTCCACTGACCACTCCACCAAAGTCCTGCTTTACTGTCTTTCTGATAGCTGATTTCTGTTCTCCTCCTTTACCACTTCCTCTCTTCACTTAACACCCTGCTAATCTCTGTCTGTACCTTCAGGGTTGTTGTAATTGGGAGGTCCTGGCAGCCCAGAAAAACACAGATCAAACTCACAAGACTTGGTGAGACTTAAAACCAAGTGAAACCAAGCAAAGTCAGCTTTCTTTGTCTTCCAGCCACGGCCAAACCAATCACCCAAATGGGCCCTGTCTATTTTTGTCCTCCTTGCAGCTTCAACTTTTCAATTCAATTACATGTAATTAACAAAGCATCAAATATCATCTATTGGCACTACTTGTAACATGATCGCAATACAATTAATCCCATTTCTTTATAATCAAAATAAGTCCAATTCCTCCAGGACCAATTAAAAAAAGGATTCCTATCAAAGGAAACCAACAGATGGTTCTGAAACTATTCTCTGATCCAATCCTCATCCTGAACCAGAAACAGGAACAAACTTTTACCAGAACCAGAACCATATGGGGCTTCTAGGGGCTGAGAGGACATAATGAGGAGCAAACCAGCACTGTGTCACCAGGCCAGACAAACCTGCTGAGAGAGAGGGAGGAGAGATGCATCAGCTCCTACCCCCCCCCGCCTCTGTCTGTAGGCAAGTCTTTCCAAACCTTGGTCCTCAGGGCACAGTTTCCAGCTCCAGCACTCCAGATTTAAATGAACGGGTCTCATCAGCCTTCTGTAGAGTTTAAAGAGCTGAAGAGTTGTCCCATTTATTTTAATTGTCTGTGCTGGAGACCTTAAAACATGCAGATCAATGTGCCCTGAGAACCAGGGGTTTGAAACACTTAAGAGTTATGCTTTAAGTGAGACAATGAGTGAGACAAAGTTTCTTGATGCTTAGATAAGATTGATCTTGACTTAAAAGTATTTTATTTGAAGGCAACAGCATTCGAGGCACAGGTCACAGAGTAAAACCCGAGTAACGGTGCTGATGATGTTATATATTATAAACAATAAGATAAGAAAGAACGAGCTGTCTCTTGACTGCTGCACACATAAAGACTTTAGTTTGCATATTATTTAGGAAACAACTTGCTATATGGAATAACCAAGAACATGTTTTACAGAACTCAGGAAGAAAAGCCCATGTTCCAGATAAAACAGGATGTTTGAGTCTCACTTCATCAGGCCTGGAAACTCACTCCCATATTTGACCAGTACATGATGTCTCAGGCAAAAATGCACAAAAGAAGAGATTATAAAAATGTGCTCCATTACAAGTTCATAGATATATATAACTGAGTAACTTCAGCATAACATATGAGGTTTATGCCGTGCAAACCTAAATGGGAAATAAATCAACTTTAATCAAAGTTTCAGAACATTCAGGTGTGAGCCATATCCCTAAAACATGCTTTATGAGATCTGTAGATCAAGGTATGATGTATCATTTAGCATTTTATAACAATATTCTCACTCTGTGTGTTTCTTCATGCCAGGATTGTAAAAGTCCAGCATCTCATTTTCTTGTCTGTTACAGTCATTCACCTTTAAATCTTTTCATTTATTCTTATCATTTTGCCCTTCACTCTTTCTCTGCTCCCTGAAAAAAGTGGATTATAAACTGCTTCTGGATATATTGATGAGCTTTCTCTGGACATCTATGTTAAAGTTGGATTACATTACCTATTTAGTTATTTTCGGTACCTGCAGGGATTCCTCAGGTGGCTGTTGTCACCCACATCGATGAGGCTTGTAAAGAAATTGATGAGAACCTGAAGAATGTCTATAAGAGCAGGTTCCTGAAGACCAAGGTGGGTTTCTTTAGGTTACAGATTTTATCCAGGAACAGAACGTGTGATATAACTTTCAATTTCTTCAGGACACTCTCTGTATTCAAACTTTTTCTTTCCCTTTTAGATGATGGAGATCAGCTCCGGTACTGGTCTTCCTCTGAACTGCATCTTGCCTGTGAAAAACTACAGCAAAGAAAACAAAATGCAACCTGACATCAACGCACTGATTCTGAGCGCCATGAGGCAGATCCTGGAGTTTGGAAATGACTTTGTCAGGGAAATGGAAAGAAATCTTGTTCCAAAACGAAGAGATGATTAGAAAGTTTTGGCACATAGTGACATGAGATAAATATGTCACATGTTGACAGTTTACAAATTAGCTTTTGTGTTTGTATCTGAATCAATATGATCCAACAGAAAGACATTATTGTATGCAAACATTAATCTAGTAGTCTCTTATCTGATCATTTAGAAAAATGTAAACAATCAGTTTGGTATGAGATGCTGTAACTGCTGATTAGGGATGAAAATAAGTGAAAAGTGTCAAACTTGTCAGTGGAGTGAAGAAGGTGAAGCCTGTAAGGAGGCTGACAGCTGATGCTGGAGGGGATTCCTCACAGGTTTCAAGATGAAACAGCTCCTCTTAAGGTTCTGTTAAACTCTACTGTCTTCGATGGAAATCAGAATTCAAACTGCTCAGCGGATCTGTCTCATCTATTCTTTGTCTCATAAAAATTCAATAAAATGTGATAACAGCAGCAGAGCAGCTCAGAGTCGTATATTCAGTAGGAATCTTTGTGCTTTTCCTCTGACTGGAGGAAGAGACACTAATGAACAGCTAACTATGCCTCAGAATACAGAATCTGGTCTACTAAGCCTGTGAACTGGTGAGGACTTAAGCCAGACAATACATGCCTTTCCTGGAACAAAAGCAGAGTTTGAGCCAGGGGAACCAGAACCTTTCAAGAAAAGAGATGATTGCAAGAGAAAAGACAATCAAAATCATCTCCATTGAATTGATACTAAAAGGAAATTGACCAACCAGGGGTCACTCAGTACAAGGAACATGAACCCTAACCCTAAAAAAGACTATCCCTAACTCACTGGTAGTGGAGACATCCACTACCAACATCTGTCAATCAATCAATCAATCAATCAATCAATCTTTATTTATATAGCACTTTACAACAACCAGAGCTGACCACAGTGCTTTACAGTAATTAAAACAGATCAAACAATCAAAATATATAAAATATACAAAGACAAATGCATTGGTGAAAGAACACAGTTTACAGTGATTTTAAGTGCAAAACGCCATTCTGAACAAATGTGTTTTAAGTTTAGCTTTGAATAGAGGGAGGTCAGTGATTGTACGTAACTCAGTGGGCAGAGAGTTCCACAGTTTAGGTCCTGCCACTGCAAAAGAGCGGTCACCCCACTGCTTGAACCTGGACCGTGGGACCTCCAGCAGATGTTGACCAGCAGACCGAAGTGATCTGCCGGGCTGATTTCACTGATATACGGAGGCGCAAGGCCATTAACTGCTCGAAAAACAAACATGAGTATTTTAAATTGAATCCTGTACTGTGCTGGGAACCAGTGTAGGGAGTGGAGGACAGGTGTGATGTGGTCATGTTTACGGGTGTTGGTCAGGAATCGGGCAGCTGCATTCTGTACCAGCTGAAGGCAATGGAGGGATGTTTGATTTAGTCCAAAGTACAGAGCATTGCAATAATCCAAACGGGGGCTAACAAAGGCATGGATGGCTCTTTCGAGGTCACAGCAGCTCAGGAAGGGTTTCACCTTAGCAAGAAGGCGAGGCTGAAAAAAGCTTGCCTTCACTAACGTATTAACCTGTTGGTCGAACTTTAAGCTGGAGTCCAATTTTACTCCGAGATTTTTAATCACATGAGAACAATGGGGGGCCAGAGAACCACAACTAGGTGACATATGTATATCTGTCTTACCAAACAAAATGCACTCTCTGACCACAGCATGCTTAAACACAGATGGAACAAACCCTGAGCTGAAGCAGCTGTCAATAAATGTTAGGAGACTTTGGCCCACTGCATTAAAGGCTTGTTTAAGCACCCTGGATGGAATAATGTCCAGTGGACAGTTGGTAGGTCTTATCCCCTGGACCACCTCATACAGAAGGGATAGAGACACTGGCTCAAACACATCAAGCATAGCAGAAGGTACAACAGAAGAACACAAGTTAATAACATTAGCTGTATTGTCAATACTCTGTCTGACAGAGGCCACTTTGTCAACAAAACAATGCAAAAACTCATTACAGGTTGACCTGATATGTTTCTGAAAACATTACTGGGTGGGTTTGTAACCGACTGAATAGATTTATAAATAACACCTGAGGGCGGTTACAGCTGGTGGAAATGACATGTCTGAGGGAGCAGTTTCTTTCATGAGCCTCAAATGAGCTGAAGCTCAAGAAGAGAGCAACCGAAGGAAATACATGTGAGGTGTTAAGGTTTGGAGGAAGAAACGTATGTACCAAGTTGTCTGATGTAATGTGTGATGTCCGGACTGCATAATTACACCAGAACAGATCAACTAAAACTCTGACAGAAATCATTCATTAAGAGTTTTTGCTCCTTTTCTGTCTAAAGTTTTACGAATACTTGATGCTTCTGTTGTTCTGCAACAAACTGAACAAAATCGGAAAAGGCAAACAAAGAAAAGGACCACAGGGTGTGTCACTCTGTCACGGGTTCGTTCAAAAATATAACAAAAATTATGGCCAAGCCGAAAACTATTGGTTGTGATTTTTCTTTTTATTGCTCCCAAGGTGAAAACAATGAAACAAAAACCAAGGACTACTTTACAGGACTATTTACAGGACTATTTACAGGACTATTTACAAAACAACTTACTAGGACAGCCAACACCACCATCAGATCCAGCACTCTCTCCAAATGAGTTCAGCTCCCCTTTAAATACCCCTATAGCCCCTCCCCCGGGTAAACCAAAAGACCAATTAAGGGGTTGTTAAGGATAAAACAAAATAACAAAACTCCAAACTCAGTTTCCCACATAGAAACTCAAAATAAACCAAAATGACTCCATAAAGTCTTCAAAACATCCTAAACATAAACAATATGAAAAATACAAGACAAAACGCCAAAAAATGGTTACGTCCGCGGTCACGTGACTTGCCAAGCGCGCTACTCTGCGCTATTTCTAACGTGATGTGGCAGTGCCCCTGTCACGACCACTGGTCCGGGCAACAGAGAACCCAAAAGCACGACAAGGCAAACAGGAAAATAGTGTGGGAAAAACGCTTTACTCAGTCCAAGAAACAGGCAGGGGTCAAAACCAGGAGATCAGTTGAACAGGCAAACAAATCCGACAAGGGGCAGGCAGGTATCCAAAATCCAGAGAGGCAAACGAGAGGTCAAAACGGGCAGGCAGAACAAGAGAACGCTGGAATGCTTGGAACGGAATGACACAAGACAATCTGGCAGGGGACAAAGTGGAAAGGGAGTGGTATTAATACTGGAGGCCAAATGAGTTAATGAGCAGCAGGTGAGGAGATGGGCGGAGAGAAGCAGGTGAGGGGGAATGAGTAATTGCATGACAGGGAAAGGCCAGATCTGAAATGACAGGAGAATTAATGATCAAAACCAAAACAAACTTGATGCTGAAGTAACTACGTTACAGCCCCGGTTTGGCCCCTGGACCCGGAACAGCGGGAACGCGCAGAGGTGAGAGGTGAGTATGTGGAGGCTCGGCGCCGAGTGTGCACCCTCGGACGCGCGTGCGATGACCGGTTCAGACGGGGGGGGAATGTTCGTCGGGACTGTGCAGGACCGCGGTCCATAGGTGCGGACCTGCACGCAGCAGTTTGCCGGGCAGCGCACTCCCGTGGGAGAGACTTCTCCCCGTGCGCGCGCTCCGGGCACCGCGCTCCGATACGTGGAGTCTGTGAGGGACGCTTAGGAGCGCTCCCTCACACACTCGTCACTAACTTGAGACCTGGGGCATTTGACACTGTGTACATCTAATATTAGATCTAGAATCCAACATTCACACAAAGCGTGAAATGTAGATAAAATCAGTTTCTCTCTGATAAATTCAGGAGCAGCTTGATTAAATAGTAACAAACATGCCAAGCAGAAACCTGCTAACAACTGAATGTTATTAAAGTCCAAAGGAGACAAACTGCTTTGTTTCTCTGAAGTCATCTGACCTTAAAGTGGGAGGATCTCTGATGTCATGATGGTGTTCCTCCACCTTCCTGCTGTTTAACACTAAACCACCACACTACCTGACTGATGGGTAACACAGGTAGGACTTTCTCTGTTTGACTATTTACAGAACTTAGAAACATATGAGAAGATGTTCCCAGAAATGATTTGTGAGCTATTGTAGAACTATGAGCCGTCAGCTGTTTGAGACACAACAGAAAACAGGAAATAGACGAGTGATGATACTAAAAGATACATGCAGGCAGGAAAAATATCAATCCAGCAGCTCTTTGCTAAATGTTCATTTGTTTCTAGTTGTAAATACGTCTGTATTTCAGTTTTTAGAGGTTTCCTCCACTTCTGATGTCTAAACCTGAGAAAGACTTAATAAATAGATGAACTCTGTCAGCCTGTGCTGCCACCTGCTGATGGCTCAGCTGTTTCTGCATCAGACACCAAGCTCAGTCAGAGCCAGCAGCAACTAGAGATGGCATTTTGTGCTGATAGAATATAAAAGAATCAGAAGAAGACACAAACAGAGGGAACTCTAATAAGACTGGGAACAAGGAAACAATGACAAACATTCATCCATACATTTTCTATACCTCTTATTCCTCACAGGGCTTTCACTGCACTCCTGGACTTCCTGGACTTCCTGGATTTCCTGGACTTCCTGGACTTCCTGGATTTCCTGGATTTCCTGGACTTCCTGGACTTCCTGGACTTCCTGGATTCCCTGGCAGAGATTCAAGAAGAGAGTTTTAAGTTTGAAAGGTCAGTCCATCACAGAGATACACACACACTCACACTAAGGGCCGTTTGGAGTCCAACCAACCTAACATGCAGGTTTTTGGACGGTGGGAGGAAGCCGGAGAACCCGGAGAGAACCCACAGACACAGGAGAACATGCAGAACCACCCAGAAAGGTCCTGGTTCCCGCGGGACTCTAACCCAGAACCCTCTGGCAGAAAGGTCCTGGTTCCCCTAGTGATTTGAATCTGTAACTTTATTTCTATGAGAGAAAGATGGTTACAAAAAACAAAACACCAAACTCTGTCTGACTATTTTCTTGCTGGAACCTCTCAGCCTCTCACACCAAATCAGGATTCTT